TAAATAAATAAATCACACACACACACACATATATATATTCAATTAGGGATGCACAGAAATAAAAATTCTGGGCCAAAACCGAAAATTCTAGATGCACTTGGCAAAAAACTGAAACCTAAAATGCTTTGTAATAATAATTTATTATTTTATTAAATAATATAAAGTCATTTTGTAAGACTTTTTAATTTAACTCCATTTTAATGATACTGAATTTAAAAAACAAGCCAATAAAATAACCACTTTTATTGAAAGTAACACAATAAAATTGGGACAGTAAATATTAATATTAAATATCAATATATTATTTTTTATTCAGTTCTATGCTACAGAATCAGATTTAATTGTTATTATTTTTTTTGACTAATTATCCAAATAATGTATAGTATTACAAATTTTTGTATGCGGTGTGACATACATTTTCGGCCGTTTTTTTTCTTTTCTCTAAAATGCTAAATCATAAAGGTATCTTGCTAGATAAAAAAAAAAACTAACAAATAAACATTTCAACTAGATAAAAGAAATATTATCAGTTACAAATTGACTGTTTTGACTTCTTGTAACGCTATATTACTGTTAAAACGCAAACACTCAAATGTAGTCTGAACCCAAACTGTTGAACGGTTGTTACATATCATGTGGCTAGCATTTCACATTTATACATTATATTGTGCTTTTGGCATGCACGTGTTTTTGTTCATGCAGGTTGTTGCAAAGCACTTGACCAGAAATAAAGGAGAAAAGTTTGAAACTTCATTACACAGTGAGAAATAATTAAAAATAAATCAGGTAGCCCTCAAAGGCTGAAATTTCCCTATGAATGTTTCCAACGCATACACACTATTGCTTCTTGCTCCTGCTCTCTGCTCTGCTGTTTACCTTGTCCCTCCTGCGCTCCAGCTCCTGTATCTCCGCGCTCAGCTCCTTCACTTTGGCCTCGTTCTGCCTCATGTTCTCCTGCAGCTGTGCGACGGAGCTCTGCATCTCCTGCAGGTCTTCAGTAGACTTCAGTTTGGTCTCCTCGGCACACACAAACAGGTACGCCACGTACAGTCGACTCAAGTGCTCGATCTCACGCATGAGCTTCTGGTACTCCAGGTAGGACGCACGTTCCTGAGGAGAAACAAGGGAGACAGACAGGGTGTGACAAAGATGATAAATATATATTGTATAAGTCATATGCTTTCGGTCCACAGTAAGGAATTGAAGCTGTTAGACAACTTAAATGAAAAACAAAATGTGTTCATAGCAGCAGATAAAGAAAAACAGTGGCGCACAGTAATGTATAGCCTCTTGAATACATTTCTTAATAATTAACCACTTAATTTATTACATGATTTTCTCATAACATAAATCTAATATACACATATACAATAAATTATAAATAAGTTATTTATTATTAATTTATTATTATTCAGCCTAAGAATTATTTTGTGTTTCACAGTAACATGGGGTTAATACCACATACCACATTTTTTAAACAAAATATTTTATATGTTTGCACTTAAGTCGTCACCTTTATTTATATAGTGCTTTTAACAATACAGATTGTGTCAGAGCAACTGTACAGCATTAATTAGGAAAATAGTGTGTCAATAATGCAAAAATGACAATAGTAAACACTAAATTTTCAGTTAAAGGCAGTTCATCATTGAACTTAAATATCCCTGAATTCTAGTAATACTTTTTTTTTTTTTTTTTTTAAACACATACCTCCTTTAGTTTCTCCATAGCAGGGGTGATCTCCTCATCCAGGATCTGTCTCACACACACACACACACACACACACACCCACCCAAAGATTTTCATCGCCATTAGATGAAATTGCTGGTTGTTCCAACTGTTGGGTCACTTAAATAAAAAATAATATTTAAATAAATGTATGTACAGTCTGAATCTCTTTCAGCTTGGCATCTTTCTTCTCAATAGTTTTCTGAGCACTGATCTTCTTGCATTCGTACATCCTGGTACCTGCAGCCTCTTCAATCATAGCCAGAATCTGTGAAAAAAAAAACATGCATTAATTATTTTAAACTTTACAGAAAAAAAACAAAAACATGAACTTGCATCTAAGACACTGGATGTTTGTGTCACTTCATCTATCAGTGCACTGCAATTCAACTGCAAGCTTTATTACTACAATCAAATGTGATTAGATCACAACCAAGTAGATTCAAATGACAAACATCTCACCTCCGGAGGCTTCATGTTTAAGACCTTGGTGATTCTGCCCTGAAATAAACATACAACAGGAGTGACTGAGAATGTGAACCGTAACTACAACTGACACAAAAGCTCATCTATCTAAAAATATGAAACCAAAATGAATTTGAGGACAAATTGTCACATTACAGAAGTAAAATAAGTAGCAATCAGCCATTCACGTTCATTTTAAAATGAAAGTCCTGTGGTTAAGAATATGAATATCCAATATAATTTCATAAGAATAAATCTTTTCAGGCCACATAACATGAAAAGTCTTAAAGGGGTCATATGATGCGATTTCAATTTTTTCTTTCTC